TTTTTGTAAGTCTGTTCCTTTTTGTGGTTTGTAAAAAAAAATTTAATAAAAAGACCTTGATCAAAAAAAGAAAAATTGTGTGATTGGAGGTCCATGGAAGGCAAATAAGTTTAAATCAAATAAGCAAAAGAGGATTGAGCTAAAATAAATAAAAGGTATTCAAGGTACGTTTTGAGCATCCAAAACACGTCCAACGCTTCAAGTTGGCTGCTTGTGCTTTTTCAGGTCAGATGCGTTCGGACTGTCGGGAAGTGCCTTTGTTGTTTTCCTCTGCCGGTCTCTGTTTAATGGCGGATGAAACAAAGAAAGTGGTGGTACTTTATTTACTTTGAGCAAGCGAACGTCGTGCTCACAAGATAATTAATCCACCAGATAATTTAGAGGCGATCTGTTCGGCAAGTTTTACTCCAGGAGCTTTCATGCTATGTTCAGACCGAGCTCTGCTGCCTCTGTTTACTGAAACCAGCAGCTGCTGACGTCATTACGCTCTTTCGCGATGCTGTGTTCAGGACAAGCATGGAAAACTCACCACTCTTACMCCAATACGGTCYCAATGCTGCYTTCAGGACAAGCATGGAAAACTCACCACTCTTACGCCAAACCGGTCGCAATGATGCGTTTAGGTACCGAAATATGGTACCTATTCACGTAACAACGTGAATAGGTTCTCGGTAGTACTGACAGAATTCGGTCTGTACATCAAAAAGTATTGAATTCGGTACCCATCCCTACAAGTAGCCCCTCCCTCCTCTGAACATTAACCCTTTAGGGCACAGATATTATAGCTTTACCTCCCAGAGCAGCAAAACTCATTATTTTCAGTGATTGGTGAAAAGTCTTTTCTTATAGTTTTATTTTTTATTACATTACTGATATTTTACAAGGATTGATATTCTTCTCAGGTTTTACAAAGATAATGATAAGTGCAAAGAGGATGGAAGATTTTATAGTTTTATAGTTTCTTTAAAAAAATATTGTATTTGTAAACATTGTATTTAGAAAATTACAAATGTGTTCATTTCTACAAAACTCAAATACATTGACAAAATACACTGAATTTCAATTGTTACTGATTCAGATTAACAAAAACCAAATACTGTTTTATGTTTAAATATCAGTTTCACGCTATAAAAAATCCTACATCCATTCTGTCCTTCCTAATCAGAATCAGGGTGTGAGCTGGAGTCTGTCTCAGCAGCCTTTGGGTTAAAGCAGGGAACACCTGGACAGGTCTCCAGTCCATCACAGGGACACAGACCGAGACAAACAACTAACCACCCTTTCCAGTCAGGCTAGAGTCACACAGAGAACTCCAGAATGTTTTAAAACTAACTCTGAGATCTGAGTTGTAATCACTTATTAATATCAATTTATCAACCATAGACCATTATTATTGATCTTTTTTGTGAGGAGTTTTTAACATTAAGATGTAATCAGGCAGACATACAGTATATACACATATACTGTACATGACTTATTATTATTAATACTATACTATACTATAATTAAAGGTGAGCCCTGTAAATTTGTTTGTATCAAACAAGTAGTCCTTTTTGTTACTCTGTACCCCTGAAGGTAGCCTGGCCCTTGCCTTCCTACGCAGCTCTGCTCAATTCTAGTTTCCCTTCACTGTTCCATCTGGGACTTCTCCCGCTGGCAAGGATTTCGCTGTCAGATTTTTAGCCGGACCAATCAGAGAAGAGAAAGTCAGTTTTCTGCGCAGTGTCTCCTTGTAGTTTATTTTACCTGGGCCAATCAGCAATCAGAAGGTGGAGTTTTGAACGACGTCGATTTTCTGTGCAGTGTCTGCTAGTTATTTTACCATACGGCAGTGGAGGAAGTGAATGAAGCCAGTCCGTGTTGAAAAGGCTTCCAAATTAAATTAAATTTGTCTGACAAAGCAGCAGCTCTCATTTACAGTCGTCTCATTCGGCTCGGTATATTTCTCCTCTCAGTAGGGCTGTTTGCAGCACACGCGATTTCCGGTTAGCTTCTTAGATTAGCCTATTTCACAGAGACGACACACACATGCTTCAGCAGAGGCCACGCCTCCTGCAAGAATCGCTTCTCTATGCAGCAAGTCCAGAACCTTGTACAAAGCAAAGTGAAGGACAGGGTCAGGTTTTAACCAGGCTGAAGTAGCTCTCTGCCTCAAAAAGGTTGGTGATCCCACTATAGTTGGTGTTTAAGTATTGTAAACAAATACTTTACAATAACACAAAATTACATTACATTATGTCATATTTTCAAATTTCTTGTCAACGTTAACATTTTTTTGTTTGTTTGTTGGTGGGCTGCCAAAGTGGCCCTACCACCGGGCTTAGCAGGTTTTCTGGGTGAAACCCTGGACTGTTCTTCTTGAAGAAGCTAAGATCCTTCAATGTCTGCAGCAAGATGCTGCAGATCTTCTGTAAGTCTGTTGTTGAGAGTTTCATCTCTTCTGCCATCATCTGTTGGGGCAGCAGCATCAGAGCCAGGGACCTAAAAAGGCTAAACAACCTTATGAAGAAAGCTGGTTCTGTTCTGGGGATGACTGTGCTCTGGAGATGATGGTACAAAGATGGATTTTAAATAAAATCAAAAACATTGTGAACAACCTCTTCATCAGACTGTCATAGAAAAAGTGTGTCTTCAGTCTTTCCTTCCCACAGCCATCAGCATCTACAATAAGTCTTTAGTTAAATGAGTTACAACACCTAATTTCCCTCTGGGATCGATAAGGTATTTTTGAATTTGAATTGAATGAGCTCTAGCAAAATTCCCATCTATATCAAATCTTTATCAGCCACTTCCTATAGGGCAATAATGTTTTTGCTTGTGTCTGCAGGTTTGTTTGTTTGTTTGTGGCTATTTCAAAAAAACAATCAGTTGTTTATCGTCTTCAAACTGTTTCCTTTTTGAGTCAGTCTAAGTAAGGTGGCTGCCACAGCTAGCGCCTAGCGGTAGTGCTGCTGGGCAGAGACTAGTTGGTAAACATTCAGTGAGGAGTTTGAAGAATGTTTTTCAACATGTGCTGGGTGAATTGTATTATCACAAGATTACATGTTATTTACAATTTTGACTAAAACAGCTAAAATTAGGATTTTAATCTAAAACCTTTGCATGAAAGGTGGCAGATGATATTTATTTCTTCAGATTGCAAAACAATTAATTTTTTTATTGTTTACTTAAATCCTTTTAAGTTCTGGATATAAATACAACCATTTTGATTTGCATCTCGTCAGATTTACTTTCATAAATGGCTCATTTTGCAGTTGCTGTTGTGTCTAAATGTTTAAAACTGTGAAAGTCAGGTTTTCACTCTTTCCAAAAACAGAGATGTTTGCTTTGTAAGAATGAATTATTTAGGCCATAACTGAGACATAAAAGGTTGTAATAAGTAGTCACAAGGTCTTAGGCTTAGCAGCTGAGTAATGCAGCACATTTCTGTGGATGAAAGGACCAGCTGATGCTGGAATGTCATGTGATTCTTCTGTTTTCCTGGAGTTTTAGTTGCAGTGGAAGCTTTGTAACTTTGGTACGGGTTGGAATTTTTGTTTACTTTCTCGACTCTTCTCAAATTTGTGTTTATGTTTTCCTCAGATGATCCTCCTGCGCCCATGTGTCCTGATAAGATGCAGAGTGTGGATGATTTTGTACCAGATGAAAGACTAGACAGAAGTTTCCTAGAGGACAGTGTGCCCTTGAAGAGCAAGGTTTCCCAACCTGCACCAGCTCCAGCTGCAGACAGCGACAGGTGAGCTCTTACCTTCTTTATTACTTATTTATGTCCAACTGTTCACATTAGCTAATAGAGCATGAACATTTTATGAAATGTAAAATATGCTTAACTAAATATTGAGTAGTATCTTGAATACACACCATCACAAAGAAAAGACAAAAGTTTAACAAAACAACAGTTATATAATCAGGGCTGGCCCTAGCCAATTTGGCACCTTAGGCAAGATTGCAGGTGGTGCCCTTTTGCAGTTTTCTGAATCTCATTGCCAATTTACATATATTCACATACCAAGTTAAATAGTTTTATCTTTGATATTATTTTTTATCTTTACAAACCATGTTGTCTAATTAAAACTGTTAATGTGCTGCTTAGGATGGGAGACTGTGATGAAGTGAAGATTCAACACAATCTGCTGGATAAGATTGATTGTTTTTTGTGTACAGTGTCCTGAGATATCATTTGTTGTGACTTGGTGCTATTTAGGTAAAATGAATTGAGTTGAACAATGTAATTTTCAAAATGTATTTTTTGAGACAATAAAAGCAGTCTATCATACCTGCCAACATCTGCTGACAGCACTGAGGAACATCTGTTCATATGTTAACCAGTAGCTGTGAAGTAGTTCTAGGGGGATCCAGGTCGATAACCCTCTGGAAGAATTTTATAAAATATCTTCTCAAAACTGTGCATTTTCCAGCCATTTCATTTTACTAGATTCTTGAAATTAATATAAAAAAACATGAAATCAGTATTTTATGAAGGTAGAACACTGAAAACCAGACGTTGAGTAATCAGTGATTACTCTACAACTCAAAATCATCTGATGAATCTGATAAAAAGCTGTGTAAAACAAATTTCATCTCCCATGTGTAGGTATCTCTGTAGACAAGTAGGTGTTTCCAAAGGAAGGCTTTTTTCAAGGAACACACCTGACTGGACAAGGACAAAAGAGGGGGTTACTTAAGTAGGGCCCCATAAAATCAGGGTTTTTTTCCCAAATTCCATTTTATTTTTTCCCAAATTCCATTTTTTCCATTTTAATTTTTCTAAATTCCACTTTTTCAATTTTTCCCTGAGTTACACAGTTTCATTGTAACCACATTTATTAACCTAAAAAGTGTGTAATTACAACATAAAGTGACTGAACATTAATTAATTAATTAATTAATTAATTAATTAATTATTAATTAATTAATTAATTAATTAATTAATTAATTAATAGCTACAGAAATAAAAAAAATAATGTCATTTCACTTTCAATAATATAACAAGTAGCTGTGGTTCAGTAGAATATTAAATTATTTTTGAAAAGTGTTTAAAAGTATTAAAAAAATTATTTTGGGAGGCGGGGCAAGATGGCGGAGTAGTGAGACGCATGCCGCGTGGGCTCCCGCTCTGACTTGTTCATTCTATGGTTCTCTACTAAATGTCCTTTCTGCTTTGAGCATCTGGTCTGTCCGGACTCGACCCCTGAGTGATTCTTGCCTGGAAGAGCAGAAGAATGGCGACAAACTCGAGGAAAGGCAAACATTCTAGCTCTGCGGCTGTTAGGCCCGACGCCGCCTCGGAGCAGGCTGCAGCTAAAACTGGATTTTCGACACCCCCTTCTCCCTCCCGCAGCGAGGCGGACGCACTCTCCTTGAAGTCTGACATTCTTGCCGCTATAAAAACCGATCTATTGCTGTGATCAAATCCGAAATAAAAGCGGCTTTGGCTGAAGAGTTTACTCTTATTAAAGGAGAGCTACAAGCGGTGAGAGCTGAAGTAGCTAACGGCACGATGCTACTGCGCGCAGACCTGGACCACGTTAAACAGAGCGTTAAAGAGCTGGAGGACGGCTTGTCAACCTGGTCCGAAGAGGTTGTTTCTCTGCGCACCACCGTGTTGGAACTGAATGAAGAAGTTGTTGGGCTCAAAAAGAAGTGTAACGATATTGAAGGGCGCATGAGAAGGTGCAATGTGCGGATTATTGGAGTTCCTAAAACGCCAGAATCCAGCTCCACTTCAGCAGTGGCTAAACTGCTAGCAGAGGTVCTYCASATGGATAAAGAGCCACTGGTGGACCGAGCCCATCGCTCTCCAGGTGGAAACAGGTCAGGCGATAAGCCGCGGGTCATTGTTGCTAAGCTGCACTATTATCAAGAATGTGTGGAAATGCTGCGTCGGGCTCGGAGTCGTCGTCCTCTTCGTTTTAAAGAGACACCGATCATCATCACATCTGACTACACGGCGGCTGTGGCCAAGGCTCGAGCGGCGTTTACGGAGGTGAGGGGACTTCTTCGCAACCGACGAGATGTTCGCTATGGCCTGCTTTTTCCTGCACGGCTCCGCATCTCTCATGGGGAGGAAAACAAGGTGTTCCTGGATGCCAATAAAGCAATGGACTATGTTAAAAAGAGGATCGTCTCGGCGACGGACAACGAGGACCGGCGTTGACCGCAGGTCCAACCCTCATCGATCCATTATGACTTTCAGGTTGTAATGAACGTTTCAACTTTGTGTCCCGCGTTATATCTTGATTTAATTTTACACATTATTCCGAGGGACGACATTCCTCTTTTTGTTCTATGTAACAGAGTTTCACAGGGGGTCTGTCCAGATCTTGGTTAGTGATTTATTTATCAGTGCTGCAAGGAGCATAAACAGTAATAATACTTTAAAGTAAGAGAACCCCTTTTTTATTTATTTTTGGTTATTGTTATTTAGTTGTGGCGGGAGTCCAGGCAGGGAGTTAAGCCCCCCAGTATAAGCACAAATGTGTGGATTTTTTGTTTGTTGGGTTCTCCGTGTTTTTTTAGGAGAAAGGGGTGGGACTATACCGGATCTATTTGTTTTGAGAATGTCTTTTTCAGGTTATTTTTTTGTGATAGTTTGTGGATATTGTACCACAATCCGATTGACCATGGTCACCCAGTTAACTGTGTGAGTTGGAATGTGAAATACCTCAATGGTCCAGTGAAATTTAGGAAAGTTATGACACATTTAAGACAACTTAATGCTAATGTTACTTTTTTGTAGGAGACCCATTTGCYTAAGGCAGACAGTGCAAATCTAAGCAGGCGCTGGTCTGGTCAGGTGTTTTAGTCTAATTTCCAATCTAAATAGAGAGGGGTGGCCATCTTAGTTAGTAAACAGGTGCAATTTACGGCATCCGTTGTTAAAACGGATGCTGCTGGATGTTATGTAATTGTGGTGGGAAAACTATATGCACTTCCTGTCATTTTAGTCTCGGTATATGCTCCAAATTGGGATGATCAAACATTTTTTTAATACGCTTTTTTCAAATTTACCTAATATTTCAACACATAATCTCATAATTGGGGGAGATGTGAACTGTGTGCTATCATCCCTCGATCATAGTACAGTGGGGAGGATCTCTCTTTCTAAATCGGCCCAGTCAATTAATTCATTTCTTAACACTTATGGAGTGGTTGACATGTGGCAATTTCGAAATCCGACCCTGAGACGGTTTTCGTTCTTTTCCCCTTTTCATAAGAGCTATTCATGGATTGACTACTTTCTCCTCGATAAACAGATTTTACCTTTAGTGAGTGAATGTGATTATGGAGCGATAGTCATTTCTGATCATAGTCCGCTCATAATGAAAGTGAAAGTGTTAAGAAATGAATTAATTGACTGGGCCGATTTAGAAAGAGAGATCCTCCCCACTGTACTATGATCGAGGGATGATAGCACACAGTTCACATCTCCCCCAATTATGAGATTATGTGTTGGAATACTGTATTAGGTAAATTTGAAAAAAGCGTATTAAAAATGTTTGGTCATCCCATTGGAGCATATACCGAGACTAAAATGACAGGAAGTGCATATAG